AGCTGGATGTACCTGCATCTCAGAGTTGATGTTCACTGGGTTCGAGTTTCAGAGTGAACATCAACTCTGAGATGCAGGTACATCCAGCTGATGGGTTCCAAATAGGACGAAACACATGTCCTGGATTCCACTGCTAGCCACTATCCATTTTTTGCTTAAAAAGATTGCATTTTCTTGTTTATCATGAATTATTTAGTGATAAAATGTTTAGAGATTTACAACCCTTAGAAATCTACCGATTGATGAGATCACACTAGGACGTACCTGAACTGTAGCATATATTTCTTTACATTTCTATTAATATCATAGTGTTTTTCAGTCATAATGAATTTGGAGAGACTATAATTTATGGACGAACCAATCAGATTTAAGGTAGCAGGTCTTGGATTTTAGCGCGAAATTCATTCACTCATTAGGCTAAATACCATTTTGGGATTAATGTCAGTTCATGATGAAAACATTGAATCTAATTTCTAACCTGCACATTCAACTGTAAATCTTAATCGCAATTACTCACACTAATATATAACTCTCATTTAGCTCTAGTAAGTAGGTGGACATGTCAAGGTCACTTTAGCGTCGCACAAAGATGATTCAAATGAGTGTAACTATAAACATACTCATAAGTAGTTGCATAGAAACTATGCATTTTCATTGAAAAAAAAACTTTTACGGAGACTGAAAAATATGAAAGTGACATAGAGTACGTTTTTCTCGATTCATCCATCTTTACTAACCACGTTTACAATTAATTGATTACTCAAGATTACGTGTACATAGAGCTGATCACTGATAAACAACACAAAACCTGAAATCATTCAAGGTTTGCTGTCGATTTCATTCCAATCAATATTTTACATCTCAACATAGTGTACTCGATGTTGAGTCACTTAAATTAATGGACACATTATCATTTGATCGATAGGATTCGATCAGCACAAACAAATACTTGATATATATGACTGGTCATTACTAAGTGATCAATCACTTTTAAAAGGCAGGTCAGTCTTACAGAAGGTCTGTTGTGGCTTAAATGCCTCAGTGGTAATGTCTCCGACTATGAAGCTAGGTAAAGTGAGATTGAATCCGCCAGGCAGCATTAGTCTCTTCAAGATTTCACGTACATCTTACAGACGAATTCCAAATAGCACAAAACGTGGGTCATAGGGTTTCGTCCTAAGTACCAACATCTTATTGACTATGTTTAAGTACCGTCCATTTTGACAAACATTGACATATAAGAAAAGCAGTATACACTCACTTGTCTAAAGGCTGAAAGAAAACCTAGTTCTTCACCCTCAAAAGTAGAGGCATCTTTAACCGCTATTCTTTTTGTTGGATAAATTTAGATCTAAAAATACTGGAACCACATCTTAATGATGAGATAATCCAATTCGAATCATTTACTTGATCCTTTTCAATACATTTTCATGAGTTAAATTTTACTTATCTATTTATCTAAACAACCTATATTTTACAGTTTCCTATTGAATTCAGATATTAAACCCATCAACAGTTCTATCGTAGTGTAACTGGTACACGTTGGTCATACTATTAGCACGAATCAATCATTCACAGTAATTCATAGCGATGTCTATCCATCGATAATGGCTGGAGTAGGAGCAGGTTAGAAGAAAGCTACGGGTAACCAGACCAACATATGGTGTCAGTGCATAAAGATACTAATCTTTTGACTAAGCTATGTAAGTAGGCATAGACTACCTATTTGAAGTCTGTATGATCATCGCTAACAGTAATTAGGGACTTTAGATGATATGGAATAAAATCGTTCTCAATAGTTCAGATGTAAATTACTCATTTTCTTTGCTTGGATCCCAAGTTCTTAAATTCCTTATTAGTTTTTATTTTATTATTTCGCCAACTCATATTTCCTTCTTGAATTGTCTCTTAGATGCCTAATCTGGTTATTTTATTATCATTAATACTGTTCCTACCTCTACTAATCTGGGATTTACTTTGAACCAATATGCACATGTCCCATATTCTACATTGAGTTTAACCAACTGACTGACTGATTGAATTCATCATTATCTCACTGATTGAAATGATTAAAATCTCCACAAAACCCCTTCTGATAATCATCATTATCTACCAAAATCTATCAAAATCCTCTATATGGCTGAAGTAATATTTATTCAGATTGAATAACTGTCCATAACCTGATCTTTTACTATGGTCAACTTTAAGCCCATTAGGGCAATAGACTTTTTATAATGATAAGATGACCTTATTTGATTAATATGCACAAAGCTTTTCTTTATCTTTTTTCATTACTTCAATTTAGTTTATTCAAATATATGAAAGATTCAAGTACCTTCCAATCCACTTTATTGTATATGGCAATGTATTCAGTCTATTAAACACATTTAATCTGTTTTTTAATTAGATTAGAACTTCTGCCCATCGACGAGGGGTAGCAGGCTCAAGTAAGTAAGTAAGTAAGTTCTGACTCATCTTATAATGGTTACTTACATATTGTAATTATTTTATTGTACTAACCAACAATTTACGATGCTTTTTTTCAGTTTTTAAAAGATATATTTTCTTTGAATATGACTATTCTGTTTGGATCATGAATTTCAACTTAAAACTATGTAGGAATTGGTGAGAATTGATTGAAGAGCCTCCGAATGCCCTGATACAGTCGAGGGTGGGGCAAGTCCTCTGTCCCTCTGTCGAAATGCTCTCACATAGCCAAGCGTATACTGCCACTGTCAGGGAAGTCCTACTCACTGTCTTCTCACACCACAGGTGTTGTTTATGAAATTGAGAGGACGAAAACCGGGTTAGTCGATATGAAGAATCCATCTAGAGGAGTTAGAAAACACACATTCCAAACCAATGGTGCACATCGGCTCCACGATCCTGAAAGAACAATTGATGTATGAACCATTCGTTGGTCACCGACTACTATGGTACTGGATCGCCTGACGTTCCTCCACTGTCTTGTGGGTTAAACGTTTAAGTCGAAGGTTTCATGTGTGACCCCTCAAGAAAACCACGCGTTTCTGTGTGGGCACGCAGTCGGTATCCCAGTCCACACACAAATCAAGTGACTTGAGTGGGAGCGCATATGTATTCGGTTCCCCCTATGTATATGTTCAAATCAATAAGAAGATGTAAATTGAAGAGTAAGAAAAGAAAACTTTCATTTTGCTTAGATTTATTCGACAGTCCATCAACTACCTTTAAATGATTCTTTATGTAAACAGCAATCACTGTTCAAATATTACCGAATAATTTAACAATTGCCAGGTATCAAAATTCTTGTATACATAGTTGAAATTAATTTATGAAATCATATTCTGTGAACATTGATCAGTGCATGATCTCAATCAATATTGTGTAAACATTATAACAGTTTAAAGTAAATAACTCTAGTCATGTATTTCATTCAACACTCTAAACAGAAAGCTCTAGTTCATTGAAGAATCTATAAACAAGCTAAGCTTAACTACTAAGCTAAACTGTAGACTTATTTTTATTTCAATTACAGGAATTTCCATGAATAAACCTACCTACTTTTCATGTCAGTTATATCTTACTAGTAATTGATTTGAGTAGTTTGTACAATACTTGAATGGATGAAACTATAATTTATGGATGAGCTTTGTGCGACGATAAACTGATCCTGAGAGTGTTCACTTAATAGCTAGGCCCGAATGAGGGTTAGGATTATGATTTACAGTTGATGATTAAGCTTAGAAATTAGATTTAGGGTTTTCATCACAAACTGACATCAACTATAACGCCAAAACTCTATTTAGCCAAATGGATGAGTAAATTTCGCGCCGAAATCCAAGACCTGTTATCTTATAGCTGATTGGTTCGTCCATAAATTAGTCTCGGCGTTGAAATCATGAGACATTTGAAGCTAGACCACCATGAAAAACCTAGAATCACTGGACGTCTGTTTTTGGGACTCCTCAGTGGCAGTGTGCAACATAATAACATAAACAAACAAGGCTGAGGTCAACTATAACTTTTTCAATGTTCAATAAATGCGTTACATTTCCAGTATTTTCAGTTATGTTTCTGTTCATTTAATGAATAAATGGAGCGTAATTTTAATTAAGGATTTCATTTTAAGGCCTAATTTTCACAGCAATTATGGTTTTCATCCTTCATGTTAAACTGTACTACATTGGCTTGTTCACAGTAAACAGTTGAGAGCAACTCTAAATGCTTAAAAATAGTGTGTTTTTTCCTAATGAAAATCATTTAGCAACCATTAACTAGTAATCATCAATATCCGTTAATCGGATACCATCAGGAACAGTCTACTGTAGGAGAAGATAAACTAACTTCCATCTGAAGAGGGAATTAGGAAAAGATGTAAGAGGTGATGGTGGGACATATATTACAGAAATTATCAAACTACATCACGAGATATGACCTAACATGGAATCCTGTAGGAAAATAGAATAGAGGAAGGTCAAAAAACATACTACGTCCGGAATTGGAAGCAGATATGAAAAGAATGAATAACAACTGGAAAGGATTGCTCAATACAGGGTTGGATAGAGAATGCTTGTGGGCAGCCTATGCTCTTCCATGAGGAATAATAACCGTAAGTAAGTAACCACTATTCATCCATTTCATAAATACAAAAATAATCAAACATATTAGATGTAACACCCCTTTCTTCCTAATTCAATGACAAACAATAATAATAATAATAATAATAATAACAATAATAATAATAACAATAATAATAATAATAATAATATAAACAGTTGAGATCATGAGTCAATTGAAGCTAGACCACCATAGGAAACCGGGAAGCATTGGATGGCCGTTTCATCCTAGTATGGGACTCTTCAGCAGTGCGCATCGACGGTCCCGCACCCCGCGAGATTCGAACCCAAGACCCATCAGTCTCGCGCCAGGCGCTTAACCAACTAGACCACTAAGCCGGCATCCAACGGTGTTAATATTAATAACAATAATAATAATAAAACAAACTATCAATGACTTACATGTTGCATGATTTTCTGAGATGTTCAATATTACTAATAATAGTACTATATAATTCCATAATGAAAATGAATATAAAACTTTAATGAAAGAATCCATTTGTTCACTTTATTAGTTGATTAATAATTTTTATTTTAAATGAAATCAACCACACAATTATGTTTCTATATCAACATAGACGCACACACACACACATACACACCCAGAGAGACAGAAAGAAGATAAGTGAGTATACTGAAATGGTTCAATGTTCTTTTTCTTTGATTACGTAATCCTTGTTTCCACGGTTTAATTTTTATTTGCCCGTTTTATAACTTTACCTAGATGAATTGATATTATAATCCAACTATAGAGAGTAAATAGATTTATTTCTTTCTTTATTAATATATTACTAATGAAAAGTTACTGTTCTATAAATGTGTGGTTTTTCTTTTACACTCTTCTTTATATATATACTGAGAGAGAGAGAGAGAGAGCTATAAATATGTAATTGAGTGTTGGCAATCTCACTAGAAAAAAAGGTAGCTATTAACTTGTAATTTGTATTGTGTGTTACCATTTAAATGTAATAGTTACAGGTTATTACTACTATCATAATGGTGTGTTGTCATGCCCATATGTTGTTACACAAACGCACAGTAGTTGTTCTCTTTCTCTCTCTCTCTCCCTCGCACACACACACACATACGCACACTACTTTTTGCTGTCTTGGTTATTTCTGTATTCTAAATCTTTCGTTTGTTTCTATGGTACCAACAACAACAACCTGCGCACACAACACGTAGATATACTTGTTTACACAATCAAAAAAAAACATCAATAGATCCCATATTAATGTTATTAGTCAGAACATGTGTCCCAATAGTTATAACACCCACACAATAACCCAGGTAATGGTTACTTTAAGCAATAGATAGAGTAACAGTTATGTGTACGCAGTTAGTTACAATGACCTTGTGGCATAAGTAACCAATCCTAAATAAAGTTTATGTGAATAATACACAATTCTATATTCATTTGTTCATAATAATAATAATAATATGTAGTTGGTCTGAATTGATGATACCTTGATGAGACAAAACGGATAGGTAGTTAGTTAGTTATCAACAAATGCCAACTTGTTTTTTTACCGGCTTTTATACACATACATAGGCATACAACATTTTATTCTCTTATTGTATTAAACAAGATAGTTAATATTCATTGACATTTGCACTTCAAATGAATTTTAGAACCATGGTCATGCATTGGCACATTATTAGTCAGCCTATCCCCTTTCATTAAAAGGAATAACTGTATCAGACCCAACAATCTAATCGATAATAATAATAATAATAATAATAATAATAATAATAATAATAATTTTGCTGTTCATAATCACCCGGCGATTCCTTCCAAAATTCCTCTTATTAAATACATAGATTTTATGTATTTAAACACATAAATATTGGTACAAGGAGGCACCAAATAAATATGCGCCACATAAATCGAATGATTTATGTGAGGGCTGGGATACTACCCGAATGTTCAAACCGGAGCAGGTGGTTTTCTTAGGGAGCCAAACTTCAAGCCTTTGACCTAAAGGTCTAATCCACAAGGCAATGGAGCATCGTAAGGAGATAGTCACATGGTAGCCGGTGACCAACGATAGGTTCATACACCATTTGTTCCCGCAGGATCCTGGAGCCCATGTGCACCATTAGTTTGGGATGAGGGTTTTCCAACTCTCCTAGGTGAACTCTATGTGTCTACCAATCCGGTTTAAGCCCCTGCCCGACGTTCTTTTTTCGTCCTTTCAATTTTGTAAACAACACCGGTGGTGTGAGAAGGCAGTGAGTAGGACTTTCCTGTCAGTAGTTCTATGCACGTGGTGATGTGAGACCATTTGGAGATGGAGAGCTGATTCTCCCCACTCTGAGCCGTACCAGGGCATTCTAAGTAAACAAACTTAGTTAATTATGGTCAATTAATGGTAACCGATATCATTCTGTTTATGTCTTATAGTGCTAAAGATGGAATTTCTATCGACCACGTTTCGTTATGACACTTTGGAGTAAGTAACTGGACTTGACATCATGGTATAATTTGTCCCATATTAAGCGGTTAGCAGATAGTTATTAGGAAATTTTACTTGGCCAGGATTTCGAGTTATTTGGGAGTTAGATGTTAAGTTAGTTGGAAGTAGTTGATAAGAGACCCAATCTGAACTACATTACATGCAAGACCTATCCCTATAATTCAGAAAATAAAAGGTCTCAACAAGATTTGAAAACTGAATATCGAGCTTTACAATCTGAGACATTACTATGAAGCTACTCAGAACCCCATTGATCTCTAGTAAGACTGGGATATGCACAACTGATTGGTTACTGAGTACTGACCAAGATCCTACATATCTACTCGTTGGTGCTGTTCGAATTCTAACGATAAGTTGCACTCTGACTACTAGTTTGGGTGAATTTACATCATGAACACTATATCAAGATGTTAGTCGGTTGGGCGTAATCGTTTACAAAAAGCATTCGAGATCTTGAGTTAAGAGAAGTTATACTCCTGGGTCTCAAATCCATATTACTATTTGTTTTAATAAACTGTGAGTGATTTAGTGAGTATAGACTGACTATTATTTAACTAAAAGCGAACTCTAAAATGATAGATATCAGGGGTACAATCATACTCTAGTGAAGTCGTTGAACGACCATTTGAAATCATGGTAACCAATGTTACGTAACGGCGTGACACCATTATAAACAGCTCGACGCTAGAAATAATGTTTTTCACTAGATTTCGAATTTTGGATGTATTAGATAATTATTTCCCTGTGGAATTAAGTATTAGAATTAGAATGTAAGGGTTAGGAGTGTCAGAGTTATTGTACTATGATTTCCAGCCCAATCTAACGAGATTTACAATTGTTTAGCAATATAGAAGGAAATCCTTCAGAGAAGCTGCATTGACTAACAACTGATTGATGAATCTGAAAGTCACTCTTAAAATAGCTCAATGCCATCAGTAAAGTATGGTTGTACCATGTAAAATAATTGCGTAATTTCCTTCTCCTGAAGGACATGAAAGTAAAATAAGTACTGATGTGTGGGCGAGAATGATAATGATTGGTTGTTTACTTAGTCAGACTTTTAGGTATTTTATGCAAAAATGGATAGTGGCTAGCTGTGGGATCCAGAATGCGCATCTCGTCCTATTTGGGACTCGCCAGACGGATGTATCTGCATCACATATGCCAATAAGAGACTGATCGATTGCAGTCCTAAACAATACCAAGTGAATTTAAACTTCAACCAATTGTACAAACAGTTAACTACCAAAACTCTATAGCTAAGTGGATAACGTGGTGGCGTCAGGAGCGAACGGTACTGGGTTCGAGTCCCAGAGTGGACATCAATTCTGAGTTGTAGGTACGTCCATTTGAAGAGTTCGAAATGGCATGGGACGCGCATCCTGAATTTCACTGGCAGCCACGTTCCATCTTTCCTTATAATGTATGTAAACCAAGGCAATATCGAGGCAATCCGCACACGATGCACATATGCCAATAAGAGAATGATCAACTGAAGTCCTAAATATCAATGGGAAGATTCAAGTAAATTATACCAAGTGCATTTAGACTTTTAGATAGTTTGGTAGGTACTAGATAAGTTCATATATTCTCCTATCCTTATTATTATTGATCGTTGTTGGATTGTGTCGGATTGTTGTCAGTTTTTGGTGTGGAAATATATTTACGTTCTAGTCAGGTTAATCACGTGTTCTTGATCATCTGAGTTGTGTTGAAGTCATGTAGAATAGACACTGGGAGGGAATCTAATGTAGATATTCGTCTAAGGTAAATAAACGTCCTATTAGTGTAAAGACAAAGAAAATCCTAACGTTATAACAATTACCTTTCAATTTGCAAGTTTTATACTTAACCTTGGATAGATCGAAACATTTACTTTGATGATTAGGAGTTATTATTTCAATTAGTTAGTAAGTCAAGAATATACACCAATTTCAACAATAGTATAGTTAGTGTTTTCTATCACTAAACTTTAAAATATGAGTATACTTTTTAATGATTATATCAGAGGAGCTGATAATGGGTTAATATTGATGTACAAACTGAATGAATACTTGACTTGTATCAGAAGGGGTTTTGTGGATATTATAGTAATTTTAATAGTTGAGATCATGAATCAATTGGAGATAAGCGCCTTCTGTTACTAATCAACATATGCTCACTAGTGACTGTCTCCAAGAGGTATTTCCTGGAATTCTGGTGAGTAGCAGTGACCAGTGGAGTTCAACCGAGTCTGTTGTGAGGTAGTAACTCATCAAAGACAATGGTGGATGTATCGCTCAATTTCGTAGATTAGTTGAAGTTAGACATTAACACCATTGGATGCCAGTCAGCTCAGTGGTCTAGAGCTTAGGCGTTCGCGCTCGAGAGTGATAGGTCCTGGGTTTGAAGTTCGTGAAGTGGGATCGTGGATTCGCACTGTTGAGGGATCCTATAATATGACGAAACGGCCGTCCAGTGCTTACAGGTTTTCCATAGTGGTTTAGCTTCAAATGACTCATAATCTCAACTGTTAAAATAAGAATACTTGACTAGTTATTCACATCTTTTACAACAACAACAAACTGTGTAGAATTTAACGGGAAAAATATGTGGATTCTATTTTGTAAACCAGACAGATTAAACTGGGTTATTTGTTTTGTGAAATTTGAGAGAAGTGATGTCTTCTTTTTGGGACTTAATAATATGTTCTTTTTTGTAATCTAACAGACAACTTTATCATATTCTTGTGTAATATAATTGGGTATAAACATATCATAGTGTTAGAAGAAAAGACAGATTTATTGGAAAGGTTGTATTAAACCACATATGATCAGGTTGTAATCACAAAGAAGTATTTCAATGATAGCTCTTTTTCTCTCTAGTTTGGTTAGTAGTTGAATTATTTTTTCTGGCTAGCGTTTTTTTTAGCGAGCTAGCTTTCTACGGGATGGGGTCTCTAACCCCATGCCAGCCCTCCTCCTTTACCCA